CGAGGAAAACTTTTGTTCGCACCTACTCGAGTAACTGAAACTGATGATATACTATTTTGCAGAGAATGTTTAGAGCAAGGGTGTCCAACCTTTTAGCGTCTCTGAGTCTCATTGGAAGAAGACGGGTTGCTAAGGACCGCACATAAATTAATAACATATGTGATTTATATTCGCAGTATTCTTAATGGGTTTCTTAGTCGCAATCTTCTAAAGTTTGTGTGCGTGTGATTTTTTATTAGGCCGCATTCACAATCGTCTTGGGCCGTAGGTGGAAGAAACCTGGTTTAGAGCATTACGTTGAAACTGTTCCAACTGTTGGCGATTCAAAAGTAGCAAGTGTATTTTTGGATTAATTATAAATACAATTATATCTTGGAGAGGATTTGCTATTAGTCTACGTTACTCTTGATGATAGAGGATGTCTTGGAAGGTCGCGTCAATATGGAGTCTCGCGCCGCCATTGAAGTCTACAGCGCCTCGCGTTCTGGGAGTCCATTACAATTCAGTGAGAGTGCAGATTGCTGCAGGACTTTCTCGCAAGCAGAGATTCTCCCGATCTTCGGGTTTTTAACAGTAATTCGTATCCTTTTGGAAAAGTCATGCTACGAGTGATGAAGCAATACTGTATCGTTACAATTGTCTGAATCTAAGTTTCCCAAAACACGTAAATAGAAGAACCATGGATCGCTTTGGATTCGATGCATCGTCGAATCCGCTGTCGCAACAAAGCAATGATGCAATAGTAACAAACGAACCAACGAAGATCGGCGTTCACCGTCAACAGCGTACTTTTACGGCCGATAACGATTGCAAATCCCCGGTCGTCCGACTGGCCGAGCGATCGTTAGGATCCAAGCGAGTGCCGGAAGAGTGGAAAGAAATCAGGCCGTTAAATTCGCCGTTAAATGCGTCGGATACGGGATCGAACGGGGCGAATTTTAGCGTCGGAGCGTCCATTACGCGCGGCAGCGATGAGCCGAAATGAAATACACCGACGCGCGCGTGGGGTCGCTCGAGTTTATCGCGTCGCGTTTTATCGCGTCTGAATAATTTTGCATCGGTACGCGCCGCCCGGCTCGATAAAACCGTCGCGATGGCGGCCATCGGTTCTCGAAGCCGATCCGGATCGCGGGGAAAAGCAGCGCGGTTAAATTTGGCGCCGCGCCGCGGTTTCGGACATCGTGAGCACATCGGCCGGCGCTCGTGTCAGCTCGAAAAACGACCCGGGATCACCGCGAGGAGAAGGGAAGAAGGGGGAGAAAGGGGGAAGCATCATCCGCGAGAGCAGGAAAGATTAAAGACTCGGCAAGTACGCCCCCACCGGAATGATGGATGCGATCCGTGAGACGCGGGCGCCGCTCTTCGAGTAGGTGGAGACTTCCATTTTCATTCCAACGGTTGTACCCCTCATCTCCTCGCGCGTCTTCCCCCGTTCTACCTAAAGCGTCTGTACGCTTTAATCAGCGATACGTCTCGCGCTGCCTCCTCCGGCCGTCGTCTCTCTGACATCGAGCCGGGAGGACACCGTGAACCTTGATCTTTCGGCGCATGCTAGACACCACGGGCATCAAAGAGGAACTAAGACGGCCAAGGCTGGTTACGGTGGGTGTTTACAAATATGTTCCCATATTTGGATGGGAACAAGAGCGAGGTCGACTGTGAAAAATGTCGATTATACTGCCGTTTTTCTGTTTTCAGGTGTCTTTTTAAAGGTAGGATCGGATGAATCTAAATGGCCAGTTTTGGATTTCCCTTTTTATAGTTATTGAAAGGAGATGGAAGAGTTTTTGAGAAATTGTTAAATGTATGTGGATTTAAGTAAACTTAAAGTAGAATATAAGTAAATTGAAATCTTAACAAAATAGTGTTCTAGTGTTAACAATATTGTATTGCGTAGACATAAATGGATATAATAGTTATTTCGGTGAGGAATCAGTGATTTAGGGTTAAGTATAGTTCAATCGACGGTGGGTCACGGTCGACCCGTGTAAACGTTTTAATAAGATTCCTTTGACTCACGGTATGGAAGGATCTTATATTATGTGTGCAACAATATGTGCAAGCAAACAAATATGCATTTGCATATGGGTTTTTTCAGCCGGATTTAAAACGAAATATATATTCAAGTGTGATGAGGTATTAATTGTTTCGATACGACACCGTCACGGAAAATCATGTTTTCCGAGATACACACGCTCCTCGTTTTGGAACATATTTAAAGGAGTTCAGGAAAATAGTTTCCTTCCGCGACGAAAAATATTTGCATTGACGTCGTACATCGACGGAAACGTTCAATAATTCTATATTATCAGCGGCATTATGAATAATATCATTATCAATACCGCTACCACTGCGAGCACTACTGTTATCATAAACTAGACTTTCTTCCTACTGCAATAGACAGTAACGACAACTTCAAAATTCCCCGAAACTTCCTCTACAAACCGAAGAAATTTCCTAAGCCGTTCTTCATTTTTCTGCGACTGCATTCACTGTATCCCAATTAGTACGCAGCTATGATTCCAACATCAACGAAAACTATCTTTGCTCGGAGTACCTCTCGACACTTCCTCCAAAACTCATCGAATCTCGGAGGTCCGATTCAGTGAATCCAACAGACGGCGAACCGTGTCGCAGAAACGCCGCGAGCACAAGACAGTCGAAGAAGGAACCCAGTTTCCAGCAAGAAATCGGTACGGGAGACGCGTCCATCGCGACGGGTCCCCCGTCCCATCGACGAAGTAGGTCTGTCGTAGGCCGGTGGCGCGGCGCGGAGTATCGGTGGACGGTCCGCGCGCGAACAACAATCTAAATGGTAATCCAACACCACACCCTCTTTGCAAAAACTGAAAAGCACCGGTTGGTCGCGTCGAGAGGCCGCTGGCCGACTGGGGCCCCGCAAAAATCTGCGCGCTGAGCAAGAGGGCACACGGACGGGACCGGGCAAAAAGCATTAACAAGGCTGCGATGAGCGTCCGGCTAATTCTATAACTCCCCTTCCCTCCTCCTCCAGGCCCCGTCCCCCAGCATCGCCGTCTATGTTTTCTCCGCCACCCCGCTTCTATGTTCCGTGCGGCGTTATTTTATCGTCTTTCTGCGTTCGTTCTTTTCTTGCACCCTCCGCCACTCTCTTTCTCCCTCTCCCTCTCTCTCTTTCTCTCTTTCTCCTCCCCTCTATCTGGTTCTTTGCGTTGCCCGGTCGCCCACCCCCGTTCCACCTCCGCAAACCACCTCTTTCCCTGGCCCGTGCACGATCGTTTTGGTTATCCTTGAAGGAAACACCGTCAGCGCGCCCCGGTGGACGGTCGGCCGGTAATTATCTCCCGGTCGTGTAAAAATAATAATTAGCTCCCATCGTTGCATTAATTAAAGCCCCCACCAGCAGGCTGAGCCGATGGTCCGAGGTGTACCCCTTCCACGGTCGCGTAGTACAACGCACGAACACGCTCGCCGGCCGTAATTACGCGTCCCTTATGGCACTAACCACTGTCCCACAAAGGGCGACCGCTTTACACGCCCACGTCGCTCGCGCGACCGCCTCGTACCAGCTTCATCCGGCCGATCCCGTCCAATGCGAGCAGGATCGCGCGTCCCCCTGCGCCGCCGCAAACCGTCGTTCTAACTGCTGCCCGCCGCTTCGCTACGCTCGCGTTGCGGTGGAGAGGTTGGAACGCGGACAGATCGCGGAACGCTTATCGGTCGAACGGGCGATAACCATCGACAGCGTTCGCTACTTTACGATCCGGGAGATAAGTCGCGGAGGACACGGTGAATTATTGATACGGATAGCTGAAATGATCCCCTCGAGCGTTGCCTGTGGATCCTCCGCACGCGATCGATGCGCGGACCGTTCTTGACTCGATTCTCTTGGATTGTATAGTTTGTCGACGGGAATTCTTAAGAGGAATATCTAACAAGGGTATAGAATAGAGAGAGGCGAATCGGAACGTCTTCTCTTTGACAGTTGAGAAATAAAAATGCTTAAATATTAAAAATAAAAAGTTCAGGAGAATTTTGAAGTTTTTCGAGGAAAGCTACAAGGAATGACAAATGTCATTTGCCATATAACGAATGTGGATTGAATTCTTATTTCGGTACGATTCACCCTGTAACCCGATTAATTATTTGTATAATTTGTTCCAGGATTTTTTCCATTTGATTAGCTATTGTTTCAATTGTTAGCAGGCGTCGACAGTTTTATATTAGGTGCAATGTAGTTTTATATTACAGTTTTACGGTAGAAAGATAGTCCACGATCTTATCTACGTATCCGGATGATCTTTCCGTCATTAACACTTTGAGTGCCGTGTCATTCCAGACCGGTGACACACCTTTAGTCTGAAACGGGGCGTTAATATTTATAATTCAATATTGAGTGTAATGAACTTATTACGAAGCGCATGGATTTTCTACGGTGTTGATCGAGAACTCAGAGCGTTAAAACACGTATTAGCGTGCATGATAATCATCCAGAGCGAAGTATATCGTACTGAATGAAGATTCTTACGTTGCGCTTGATCAATTAAACTTTGATGTAACGTCTCAATTGAAATCCGTACTCAATATTAATATCATATCTTTCAAATCCCTGTTTTCCGTTCGAAGAATCATAATTTCACAATTCTACGTCTTTCCCCTCAGAATAATTTTCAACTTTCAAACATTCAGTTTCGAATGAATGTTTTTATTCCTTTGATGAATACTTTGTCCATCCCAAACTATCGTCCTCCCTTTGCTCCAGTATTACGATAGAACGTCAGCACACCCTTGTTTTTTTACATTTCCAGAAAGTTCGATCGCCCGACAAAGGAAGAAAAAAACAGAAATTCCGAAGTATCGGCTAATCTTCGACGCGTTATACGAGCCGTCCCCACCCTCGGTAGGACTCTGGGCCCATCTCGCGCCGGTATCCGTGATGAAATCGGAGCAATCGTCGGGTTATGGTCGGCGCACCCGGCAAAGAAACGAAGGAACATGCATATAGAGAGCTAGGTACTTGCCTGACGCACCTGTTTGAACTGCTCTTCGAAGCTCCAGCTGGTTTGCTGCTGGTGATTCGTTCCCGTCGAGTTGTTCTGCAAGTGATTGCTGGTGTCCCGAGGCTCGCCGCCGTTCCTCGCGCTGCCCTGCGACGATTCGCTGGAATGCGAGCTGGCCGACGATGTCATCTGATTGCCGACCAGGCCCCCGCCCATATTGCCCGACTGCGGATGATTGTTCTGCGGGTGATGCTGCGGGGTTAGGAACGCAGCCGGCGGCGGGAACGAGAACGGCAGATTGAACCCGCCACCGCTCATCGCGGCTTGTAGCGCTTCCAGCCCGCTCTTGTTGCTCAACGCGTCCACGTCGTTCTGTTGAGGAACAATCGGGGGAAAAGCATTTAATTAAACCCAGTAAGTGGTTAACGTTTTGTTTCTGCTTAGACGACATTTCAAATGTCCCGTATTTGAACTCGATCTTAAATTTTCTTTAGTTGAACGAGATTTCTTGTTATTCGGCGTGTCCACTGATAAAGCTTTCAATGAAATCCTCTAATAAGTTGATATTTTATGTCTCCTTGGACGAGACCTTAAATTTTCTCTATTTGCACGAGATCTCGAATTTTCTCTGCTTAGACAGGAACCCAAATGTTCATCTAGAAAGTTCAATATTCCAGAAGTATTAGATTTTAGTAGAATTCCTGAGAAACAAGAAAGTTCAGACGATAATTTCGTGAGATACGAGTATCGTCAGTCACGACAGAATCTAGGAAGATGAAGCATCGCATAATAATTATGAAAATTAATCTGTATACCGCGTATCATAGATACTTAGAATTAAAAGAATCACTAGAATTTGTAACGAGCAATCAAATATTGTTCATGCAATAGACTTCTAAGAATTACGAATAATAAAAAATATGCATCCCGGACACATCAAATCCGCTTTCTGCTTCGAAAGCGAACGGCAACGATTTTGAAACCTGCTGGATGCTATCGGAACAGCGGAATACAAACAATGGCCGCGAGTCGAGTGGGGCGATCGTAAAAAATGGTCTTGTAATTTCCTTGCGTAATAAAGAAAAATGGGAATATCGACGTTAGGGTAATGGCCGGGCCGCAGTTGCGACATACTCTCACGATTTGCCAAGTTTTGCGTCACTCGACGCGCTTTTTCCCCAGTTTTTCAGCCGGCGAACGCTTAATTTCCCTGCAATCGAGTTTCGCCTCGAGTTATGCAGATGAAGGTTCGCTGCTGCAGTGCGTCTGATCGGCATGGTTTCCTACGGCGTTTCAATTTTCAGATGCCGAACGATAATTCGCGTATGCGGCGAAAGTGCTAATGGGAAAATTGGCGGCGCCGCAAACTACGAAAACGCGTTTCAAAGGGGAAACTCCGGAACCGAAATTACAATTCTTATCTACTTCGCCATGAACGGAACATAGACACTAATTTTTAACACGTACGCTATCGGTGACCAGCCTAACTCGCATAAACAACTTCGCGTCCGAAACGTCGTATTTGATTTTGATCTTGCCAAACGAAACGGGCGCGATTTTCCATCGTCCGATAGTGTGCATCGAGTGCACCTTGAAACGATGTTCCGTGTGGAATAGAGCAAGTTATATAATCGAGAATGTTACTATGTGGATAATTTTGTGTACCGTTAAATGGAAGAAGATACCAGAACATCGGCGTGGAAGTACATTTCTAAAAATATTCGTTTCGTTTCACATGAATCTGCATATCGCGCGTGCTCGTAATTTTCTGTACTATTTACATGTCGAAGCATGTTGTTCTCGGTATTTATCAAAGCAATTTTCTTAATTTCCGTTTATCAGCCTATAACCATTTTCTTTCTGCAGTAGAAAATCTTCAATAGGTTGTCAATTTTCATAAAATTTGACTTGTTAATATAAGCGTAACTGACATGAGGCCCGAAGGTTAACGAAAAAGTACGAGCGAAAATGTTTACCTCTTTTACGACGCAGTAAATGTTGCTAGCTGTTTATTTTTTTTAAATAAAGTTCGATGATCGGTCGCATCTATCTGTTTGGGTTTCAAGATTTTACTATTGGCCATATCTAGCTATTTATTTTTCAAGATTCTAACAAATGTCGTGGCATGAATTACAACCACGATTAAACAAATGTGAAACTTATGCGTTCACGCGTATTAGAAATATGTACTATGTTCCATGCGCGAAGTAGTCGCTGAATTACTATGAAACCATAATTCCTTTCTCTACCGATAACTTATGAACGACAGAACAATAGCAGCGGGAACGATCACGAAAAAATTTGGTCGCGAAACGAATTCTTAAGGCAAGAATTCGAAAACATTATTATAAAAATACAAGAGACCACTGAATCGGAAGAGTTTAATGACTGACGGTCATCAATGACCGCCATTACCAAATTACTCGGAAATAAATTACAATAAGACAATTCAAATCGAATAAAAGTATTTAGTCACATAAGTAACTACAAGCTAGTACCATAACATACGAATTGTGGTGCTAAATAATTAATCGTTCTTTCTATTTACCTTCGCAACGAAAGGAAAATAATAAGTCTAAAACGTTTAAGATCCTCGTGCCCGTCAATGTTTAAAAAACATAGAAAAGGGAAAATAAAAAAAAGAAGAAAAGGAGAAAGAACACAAAAAAGAACGAAAGGGGCAAGAAAAATCAAATGGAAAGGAAAACAAAAAGAACAAAGAAACAAACAGAAAAATGTCCTTTCCACTGACCTCCATTTTGAGCTTGGCCAGAAAGTGCGGATGATGCGTGCCCATCAGACTGTTCAAGTGTGTTAATGGAGTAGGTGTGCTGGTCGGCGCGGACGCATTGTCTGAGGAAGAGTGCGTGTTACCCTGAAGTGGTTGTTGAGGTAACTCCTCCCCGCTCTCCTCATCCTGGAGGTCCGGGTCCGACAAATCCTCCTCCTGATGCGACTGAAAGCAGATCAATTGTCCTGGTTAGACTGGCCGTTGCGACATTCACGCCGGGTGCACGGTACCGACCCGTAATTACAACTTATTAATTCCAGCGCGGCCCGATCCAACCGCGTGCGAATAATAACGAAAAACGCTTTGATCGCTTTCGTTCCTGTTCCCTTTTCTCCCCTTTGCCCCTGCTGCACGCGTGACTCACGCGAACACTGACAGACAGAAGCATCGAACATTTCAGAATTATTATAAGCTGCCTGCTGGGGAGGAATTAATTCATAATAATAGTCCGCGCGTCTTTCTCCTCGCCCCGATTCGATCATTATATATACCTACAGTCCCCTCAGAGTAATCACATGTCTGTTTTATACCCATTTTTATTCTAAGTATTCATTAATTTATTTGCTTCGAGGCATCTTTACCGCTCGCGTAAGAAAGCAAACAAAAATCGTTTTATCCCGAAATCTGCACTCGATAAAACGTGTACACTCGTCCCTCAATTTACGCAGTATGAATTTATTAACACTGAATAAAATGGTACTTTCGTCTTCCGAAATGTCATTACTATTACCTCTTTTATTAATATATGCGGAATAAATATGGATTTTTACAATTTACACTCACTTTCTTTTTCGATACTTTGTTTTCTCTTGTACCGGCAGACTCTATTTACGCGATTTTCATTCGCGTGAAACGATTCTACGTGGAACGGCTTTTCACGTAAATCGGGGTCAGGCGTACCTGCGTGTAACGATAATAAACGATATTACTCGTTAATGAATATTTAACCCTAACAATAAACTTACTACCACGACACACGGTAATCCCTCCGACCACCGACGAATGATTAACGATCAAGTAATCCCTGCGAGCTTGATCAAGGAAACAAAAGCGGATCGGGGGTTTATCGCAGCAGACAAATTTCCGTTCGAGCTCGGTTTCCCCGGTACGAGCGCATAAAAATCTGCATTTGCATAAACGCACGCGGTTTAAGAGCCACCGGGAGTTGGAAAAAGGGGTTCTGGGAACGCGATTTATCGAGCGTTTCGAGTTCGTAATCGCGAGAGGTGGGACAGATATCGAATCATTAAACATTAATTAGGAAAACGTTGGATCGGCCGGGTTATACGGTGCCGCGATAGCAGCTATCGCGGCGGCATTATTATGCTACGGGTGTCATAAGTGTTTTACGGCTGTGCCCGTTGCAGCGGTGCCGAGATAAAACCATACAAAGTGACATTACCGTGAGCGGAAATGGGCGTCGTAAAACCGCGCGGAGGAAAGAGGATGGTTTCGTTCATGTTGCTCGCGAATCGATTTCTCGTCCCCTCGATCCGCGAACGTTCGCGCCGCAAGGAGAACGCGTAATCGGATTCGAGTATCCGTGGCCAGTGTCGCGACACCAGCTTCCCTCGTCACCGGCGAAGTTACCGGTTGACGTCGGGTCGCAGAGGCGACCCGGGACTCGCGTCGACTTCGAGCTTGGAAATCGGACGTTATCGCGGACTACGGCAATTGCTTTCTCACGATCGTATCGCGACACGTTATTACTGTTGTTACCACTTTCTGCGGGCGAGCACCGGTCACGACTCGACGCGATAACACACCCGGTTGCGTTTTTGCGTAATCCCGGGATATCGCGTTGGAATTACCCTTTCCTTCGGTCGAAGCGGTGCGATCTTCTTCGATATATGGTTTTGGTTATTTGGTTCTCTGACAATTTGATAATTTGACAATTTCACAATTTGGTAATTTGGCAATTTGGCAAATCGACAATTTGAAAGTTTATAAGTATGAAAGTATGAAATTTCGAAGGTTTAGAAGTTTAAAAGTTTTAACCCTTTACGCTCGAGAGGCGACTCCTAGTCGCCATTTGATTCAACTCAGTAAAATTGTAAAATTTAAAAGTCAATATTAAATTTTGTGTAAGGTACTAACACGTGAAACATAAAAATAAAACAATTCTGTCTCTTAATTTATGCACGATTCCTATTTACGTTAATTGCAAATAATGTTATCGATCTTTCATTAGGAAATAACGAATATTTTTAGTATCAAATATTATCGAGTGCAAAAGGTTAAAATATGAGTATTTAAAATTTTGCATATTTGAATATTTGAATATTTGAATATTTGAAAATTCGAAAATTTGAACACACTATCAAAGTGTCACGAGGAACTCCGCGCCCATCAAAACCATCGCATGACGCGTCCACGTGTTAGGGAATCCGTGAACGAGGCAACAACCCCTCGAATAAAGAAAGGAAGATATCTGACGCACGCGTCGCAGGTGTCCGGACCATTGTAGCTAATAGAAGGATCGGCCGACGACGCGGCCGTGAATGGTGAGCTCTGGTGATTCGATTAGCTGCCCACGGAGCGTGCAGGCCCTGACTGACCTAGCCTGGCTGTGTTGGCTGGGCGCGAGAGGTGTCCCGGGCCCGTGTGTTTTCGGTAGGCGAACCTACGAATTATGCAGGGACGGCGTCGTATACCGTGCCCGTAGGTACAGTGACAGTAACGTGGGAGTGATTCTCCTCTTTCGGAGGAGACCGACCGCGCCCACTTGTTTGCCCAGGGTAACAATTTTACCTGAAGCGTCTCTGGGTGGTGCGGCGGCGAGAAACTGGGACCGTTCGCGACGCGTTTTCTATTGATTTGTTCGATTCGGTTTGGGAACTGCGAACCGACCGCGAGATACGCGACAGAAGAAAAAGAAAGCGAAAACAGAGATAGAAATAAAGGGGAAGAGAGAAAAAGAGCAAAATGGTGACAGAGGAAATGGGAGAAAGAAAAAGGCAGACAGAAATTGAGAAACGAAAAAGAAAGGGAGAAATAGACATAGAGTAAATGAGAGAGAAATAGAGAAAGAAAGACAGAAAGAGTGAGGAAAAAACGGACAGAAGGAGAGTGATAGAGAAATAGACACAGAAGGACAGAATAAAAAGAATTAAAGACGGAGGAAACGAGAGGGAAACATAGAAATAGAAAGAAAGAGAGAACGAACGGATCGTTGTCCGGAGTATTTGTTCCTCTTAAAGAATGTCTCCCAGAGAAAGATCTCTCGACTCGTGGCCCGTAAGTATGTCGCGAATCTACTTCCTCTTCGGGTGTGGAGGAATCGATCCTACCTCGTTACTCAAACAAGCCCCTAACACGGCCTGGGTGTCAACTCGGAGATTGTGCCAAAAAAAGCAAGAGAAAAGGAAAAAGATAAAGATGAGAGGGCTGGAATGAGTCTCATTCAGAATGAAGTTCCCTCCCCGCTGATCCCCTAGGAGGGACCGTTCTCTGTTAGGGTATTCTCGAACACCTACGTATGAACAGACGGTTCCTGTTAGAACAATAGCACCCCCGGACGAACCGACGGTGATTATCGTAATAACGGCGACACGTCCTCGAGCATCCTAGGACTCTACACTCGAACGATATGATTTGTGGGCCCGCGCAGGGAATATCTGATGCGAGAGCGTTAACTATCGTAGTTCATTCTTCACGCCTGTCTCCGCCGTCTGTCGACTCGCGAAACTTTCTACGGACACGTATCGCAGCCGTCGTGAAAGTTTTCGCGGCGCCTCGTCGACGAATCGGAGAATCGTCAACTTACCGTGCGTAAAAATGTTTCAAGGAATGTCTGAGATGAGGAATTTAAGAGACACAACTGAAAAGCCTGGTGTCGGTTTGTTACCTTGTTAACTGGAGCTACGAGCAGGAGACTGAGAAGGACAAGTAGAAACACGTGCACGATGATAACGATCGTCTTCTAATTTTCCTAAATTCAAAGGAATTGGGATGAAATGAAGATTTGACTGGACCACCAAATCAAGTGTACAGTTGAAACAATTTCCCTAACGAAATGGAAGTCAAGATTCTCACAGCGATTGCTCTCTCGACTCTCGCATTTCACACATCCAACATCCATTATTTTGATAACAAATTGGTCTTTCACATTACATAAAAAGTAATGTCCTCTAAACTCCGGTAATACAGTGATCAAAGAGTTAAATGCCATGTAACGATTCTGAAAAAGTAGAAACGCGATTGGATCGAAAATGATCTGAAGAATGCGGCAGGGCAAATCAGAGGAACTAGAGTCCCGAAGATCCAACGGCTGGATCGGAATAGCAGAGGCGAGCTGGTTTCGTATTTGATTAGGATTCCATCAACCGACTGTCCATCGTTGACCACCATGAAGGGTCAATATTATCACACGTGCTCAAAAACGCCGACACAGGCAGCCCGCTTGTATCGTCTCGTTTTTTGCTCCCTTGATCACGATCTCATCTAGGATTGAGGACTGGTGGGGGTCGAAGGAGAAGTAGGAGGACCATCGTCACAGTGCACCTCGCGTTCGGTTCACCTGCATCCGACAGGTATATGTTTATCCAAGTCCGCCCTTTTCGAGTAGACGCGCGACATTTGAATACGCTCGAAGATTCGATGAACCTATTTGCATGTTCGGTCCGTTAGATAAAGGGTGGCGCACCTCCTGTGAATTCTTTGTCTCGAACTCTGTCTCGTATCTCGAGGATTATCAAAACTTCGATGATCGAGTAACATTAGAGATAACTATATTCCTCAAGTTAAAATTAATTTTCAATACTAAATCTTTACTAAAATCTCTTTTAGCTTTACGTGTACACTAAGTCCAATGTTTAAACTTTCAGTTCCTTCTTAGGAAACAACTATATAATTTTTAGATAAAAAGCAGTAGATTGCAGCTGTGTCTAAATCCTATATCTGTATGTTTACCTATACTAATGCCCTACAGTGTAATTACCTACATTGTGAAAATAACTTCGATACTTCTTTCACTAGATTTCATGGATTGCAATCTATTTTCTCAAAATGTATTTCCCGAAGTATTCCTCATTTCGAGATCATCCATTTCCTCCAGATTTTCAGTCTGACGCCAGCGCCAGGCGAAACCGCGCGATCATTTAACCGCGGATAAATTTGAAAGCCGTTGAATATTGAAGACGACAGTTGATCGTAACGAATCGACG